CACACACACACACACACACACACACACACACACACACACAGATAACTCCTTGACGAAGTGTGTTTTTGCTGCATTTCAAAAACACGATAAGTATGGTCTAAATCTAGGCCAAAAAGGAAACTTGACCCTGGTCATCTGGTGAGGATGAACTACAAAGTTCGAAACGGACAAAGCGAAGCCTTTACTAAAATTGCACTAGGAAGATGCATAAAAACACAATGCAAAGGCCAAGGATGTGGTGAGCTCAGAAATAAAAAAAAAAAAACGAGAAACTGTAAGGTGCAGAGGTAATACAAAAGAATGTCACAGCCAAACAGCAGCTGTTTAAGGCTCTGAAATTTCACAAGCGTCGGCGAAATTTCTGATGGATTTGATGCGCTAATCTAGCTAATGTCATTTTAAATATAACACTAATTTTTTGGAAGAAGACAGCAAAAAAAGATACCTGCAATTCAACACTATTGGGCGCCGTTATGTCGCGTGAATTCAATGATAAATGTGAATCAGCATAGCCCATACTGTTTTGATTATCGTTACCACCAAGGAAATTTGCTTGTTTTCTCAGACGAGTAACCATTGTTTGCGCGGTAAATCCAGCACCACGGATGAGCAGTGCGCTGTTGTCGCTTTTCCAAGCTATAACCGGAAAACGATTGTGCCTGAATCCTTTGCTGATTTTCACAAAATTGTCATCAGGAGTGCTTGCAGGTACCACAACGATATTCGGGTAGCTGCAAAAAACACACACTCACACATTTGTTTGGAGATTTTAATATATTAAAATGCAAAGCTGAGCAAAGAAATTTGAGAACAACAGTTTAAACATCAATTAATAAATGAAACGCACTACCGTGCATTTACTTCATCAGCAGCAGACCAATGGAATTTTTCACTCTTACACTTTGAGGTTTGACTTGAAGCTGCAGTTAGGGAAGTCAATCCCTCAAAAATTCTTTTTCACAATACAGTTCCCTATAAACTAAAGTTAAAACCATAGCCTGTTTTTCGAATAATCTTCAGAAGCAGACAGCGAACGGAGGCCTTGCCCGAGAATAGCTACTGATTGTTAAACTAATTTCTATGAAAATCACTTCCATAGTGACATGTGGACGAGCTTTAAAATCACTCTAATTTTCCTGGAAAAATATTGTAAATTACTAAAATTCTCGTAATGCACGATGCACGATTCTCGTAATGGCTCAGCCGCGCCATATGCACTCGCCTGTGGATTCAAGTGCGAGTTACGAAGTTTGTAATCGTGCATCGGTATTGCGCCCCTCGCCCAAGTGAGATTTTAAATATTGTGCACAAGCCTATCAGCTTTAACGTAGCCGTCTAGTTTCTTGCTGAGCGTCATAAACTCATATACCCCCCTCCCCTCCGCTCCCCCTTCCTCGCCAAAATTCGCTATCTTGTTTCCAGTCCCTACTCCCGCGCAAAGTCTCAGCTTCATTTCATTAAGTATCTCCGTCCCTTCTTGTCTGTTACGATCTCTAAGACCTAAACTACTACCTCCACCTTCACCCACCCTTCTCGCCCAACCACCATTACTCCAACTCCGCTATCCCAGGACGCATACCAGTTTTCACAATCCGGCCCCCAACCCGGCGATGCTCGGTTTCAGTAACTAGCAAAATATTTGAAAAAGTAAACAAGCCTTTTAGTGAGCTCATAACGACGGTTCACGTTGGTCAGTCGAAAGGCGCCGAGGCTTAAACCCAGTCGCTCGTAATCGACTAGATAATGATGATGTAGCCCACTGGTTGATGGATCCATCATATCTGTAAATTAAATGCAGTAATGTAGTGCGATAATCGTTAAAAAACGGCGCAGAAAATACCCAGAAAAGTATATGATGTAAAAAAAAAGTACAGCCCTGAATCGGTATGACTGTCATTGCTTTCCACGGCAAAGGTACCAAATGAATTAAATTCAGAAAGCATGAAAGAACTTGGCAAATGGGGTGCTCCAGTTACACTGCTCTATTTCCGCAGAATAAACAACATGCGTGCCTGACCAAACCTCGAAATCAAAAACCAAAAGAAGCTAAAAGTCAAATCGATAGATGTCCGCTACAAACGCGCTTTTCTTAAACAGTAGGTACGCCAGTAAAATATAATTTTACGCAAATTCTCCTCGTTTGATCTGCTTTGCGGAAAATTCTGAAATCTCAAAAATGCCCTTACAGCGACTGTGCGACTAGGCAACTCTTTTGGTTCACAAGTATGTGCAGGGGTATCCGTAAAAGTTCAATTTCACAACAACTCACTGCTGCTCACTTATGGAAGATGCTTGTGCAAAGAAGCTCAGTAAAACAAATGTCAAAGTCACTGACCGGACAGATCCAAATAATCATTTTTTGCAGAACGTGGAGAAGGTGATAAAACATTCAACACTGCCGAGTCGCTATTCTTTGAGATGGGCGGTAGTGCTTTTGGTGGAGCTCGGAAACGTTTTCTTTCTTTGAGTGGGTTGCGCATTAGTGTTCTTTTCAGTTCCCTGCAAATTTTCAAATTCCCAGTGAAAGTGCAAAATAAATGTGCAACCACATAAAGAAGAGCTGGCAAGAGGTTTACTTCATCGTTCCGTATTTGTGCTTTGAGGTGATACTGCCCAGTGTGGACGAGAGTACCGCCGAAGCTGCCGAATATGCGAACAGAGTATGTGGCAGAGAGGATGCCCATCTCAGGCTACTCAGAGCTTCAATAAACTCGCCCGCTTTCTCACTCGATACCTCTTCGTCAAAAGCGAACTTCATCAGCTGCAAAGCGCATCATTGCATCACACGCTCTAAGTACTAGCTGCTGCAGGAACATCCATTAAATGACAGCTTACTTGAAAGGCAGAACTTCGAATTTGAAAGGCATCGTGAAGCTGATGGGCCACACGCACAGGAATGCCCTCTAACTGAGAACTTTGGCTTGACGCATCTCCAACCGGCTTTTCTTTTGTTATTGAGAGTACGGTCATCGTACGTACAACCACTTGCTCGCACACTGTAATGTGCTACTTATTCGTGAAAATTCTAACAAAGGAAAAAAAAATCACTGGAAATTTTATATGAAAGCAAGAATATTTGAAAGCGTTGGCTGAGAAGAAAAATACATATTCGAATTTTCAAATCGCAACGTTGCAAAATAAAAGCAGATTTTGCAAGAAAACGCAACATAAACATACGGAACAAGTCGCAGGGCTGCCCTTTGAATACAACTCGGTAATTTGTTAAAAATATCGCTCCTTCGGCCGGCAAAAGACTCTGTGGTATTTCACTACATGATGTGTTCGATATTCTTCCATCGCCCAGCAGAAACACGCGCAGTCCTCCACCGACAATGCGCTCTGCCGGTAGTAATAATGCTGGATGCAGCAACTTCGGCTGCAAACTTCTTTGTTAGGCACACCGCCCACTGAGCCAAGCAAAATACTAACTTCCCTAGCTTCTCTGCATAGAAATGAATGTAAGAAACCTTATGCAGGGGTGAAAGTCGTTTGCTTTCGGTGTACACCTGCTCCAAGTTATCAATATGAAGAGCAACAAAGCCAGGGATCTCGCCACACAGGTTCTCAATCTGAGGCTGCTCCAGGCCTGCCGAAGAGCAAATCCGGTCGATGAGTCTGCAACAAAGTGTATTTTTTTTTTTGATACAACATCAGTCTTAAGAGAAGCCGCAAAGTGAACAAGGATCCGGTTGTGGTAAAAAACATAAAGTTTTCTTCTTTCTGACCTTGACTCTTCTGGTGTTTCCTACCGTTACTATGCTTA